ATCATTGTGCATATTAAATGACTTTGTTTTATAAAAATAATTCTATACAAAAACAAAATATTATAATGTAGTAAACGCCCCTCTCAATCTACATATACAGAGATGCAAACTTGCTCTGCTCCATATAGAAAAATATTATTTATTGAGTGCAAAAGTTACATTTATTGTATGATTCTTTGTTTATTTAATGTAAAACCATTTTCCCTTTCTACATATAAATAATAAATAATTGAAAAAAATCATGTGAAACATAATTTTGTTCCAGGTGAGAATTATAAATTTTACCAGAATTATCTTAAATTCTGCATGGTTTCGTTTTTAACTACCACTGAATAAAATATTTTAAAGAAAGTGGAGCAGTTGGCATTGCTAGAAAGTATATCGATTGCTACAAAATATTACGTGAAATAATAAAGTGAGCATGATATCAATAAATAAGAAATGATTACTTACAATTTAATCCTTGATTTTAAGAAAATCCTAATACTTCGTTTAAGTTACACTTATGGCTGTCTTTTTTTCCTTCATAAAAAAAGAATAGATGGGGTTTATTCATTGTTGAGTATTACCATTGGTTTAAGCAAGGCAGAGGCACCTCCTGTTTTTAGCATTTAAATGTTTTGTGACAGTGATTCCCACCATGTGTGGCAAAACCTCCCTTTTTGAAAGGATTTACGCTAATTTACAGCAAGGGTTCTACTTGTATATTCCACAAATTCGAAAGCCGCTTTTCAAAGTGATTTTCACCCCTGATAAAATTTAAGATCTACAAGCATTTTAGGGTATGATAATTGGGCTAAACTGGACAGGGACACCCCATGGTTTTCTCATCTCTTTGCCCTCTGTCACCACCAAAGGGCTATTCTCTATGCCTGCAGGTGTTCTATTCATCCCCAGATAATTGGCCTTTTACATCCTGGTAATGTGATATGAAGAGATGTTTATCTTGTCTTTTTCCTTGTGGTACTTGAAAAAGAAAGATTTATCTGAGGATCGGATAATTGGAAGTTTTTATTCTGCATTCAGGAGAGTTTTCTAAATGATTCTTTTCAATGTTTTATTTATTCTTTTGAAATTTGTATTATTGTTTTTAAAATTTGTATGTATGTTAAATTTATTTTTTTAAAACAAGCAAAATATCAAAATATTTTGAAAAATCGAAAAAAAGAAAGACGTTAGTGTTGGTTGATTTTGCGCCTTTTTCAAATAATGCGCCCATGGCTCTCGCCATGCCTGCCATACCCTAGATACGCCACTGCAGATATCCGAAAGATATTCTTACAAATCCAATTGAGTGACGCTGATAGACCTTTCGTAAGATTTCTATGGGGTGAAAATGGGGACATTTCGAAGATCAAAATTTACCAACATAGAGGAGTGGTTTGGCTTGACTTGTAGTCCGTATTTGTTGGGAGCCACTCTACAATACCATTTGAAGAAAGCGCTAGAATCAATGCTGGAAACTGCAGTTAAATTAGAAGAATCATTTTATGTAGATAATTGCTTAACCAGTGTTGAAGATAGAGAACATTTGCACAAATTTATTACTGAATCGCCGTATATATTGAAGAGAGCTCAATTCGATCTAAGAGAGTGGGAGTATAGTATCCTTAATTCGCAAGAAGTAGCCATCCCTAAAGAAGAAAGAAAAGTACCTGTTTTGGGACTGATTTGGAAATTAAGTACTGATTCGTTGACTTTGGACTTAAAGGAAACATCGCAGGCCTCTGAGACTTTAACCAAAAGAAAAATTCTGTCTGAAGTTCACAAAGTATTTGACCCAATTGGTTACACGTGTCCAGTAACATTAAGACCGAAGATCATGCTTCAGGAGTGCTGGAAGCTAAAATGCACTTGGTATGCAGAATTACCATCTTCTATTAGAAAAACGTTTGAAAAATGGCAAAAACAACTAAGTCGATTGAAAGATATAACAATTCCGAGATGTCTCTTGGACAATCTTGAAGGTTCGAAAAATTAAAGTTTACATATTTTTTGTGATGGTAGCTTATGCTACATGCATATTCTTGAGAAGCCAAAACGAAGACTCGACATCGTGTCAGCTCATTCAAGCTCGATCTCGAGTAGCTCCTCTAAAACCCGTCATAATACCCAGACTTGAACTTTTATCCTGTACAATTGGAGCTAGACTGGCACATGGAGTTAAATCAGACTTAAGACTTGAAAATATTCCAACATTTTTCTGGTCAGATTCAGTAAATGCCCTCTTTTGGATAAAATGGAATGAAAATTGGGCCCCTTTTGTTTACAACAGAGTCCAAGAAATCAGATCTCTCAGTTTGCCAGAAGAATGGAATTATGTTCCCGGAACTCTTAATCCAGCTGATCTTCCCTCACGAGGATGCTCTGCAGAGCATCTTAAGCAATCTAAATTTTGGGAGAGCCCAATTTGGTTGAAGGATCCACCACAGCTCTGGCCAAATGATATTCGATCCAGATTTGGACATTATCAACGCTGAAAGAAGAAAAACAGTAGTGACTTCAACAAATTTATTCAAAGGGCAAATTCCGTTATATGATACTTTTTCATCATATCGAAAAATGATAAGAGTAACTGCTTGGATTTACAGATTTTATAGAAACATCAAGAGTGCTACGGATGAACGAAACTTCGAGGAACAGCTGGCCATTGAAAAAATGAAGGACGCTGAAATGGTTATTTTAAAGTACGTGCAGAACAGATGCCTAGCAGAAGAAACCAAGCCTTGCTATGCTTCATTACGAACTATAACGGATGATGAAGGCCTTATACGAGTCAGAACAGCTGCCCGAAGCGCAATGATCTAGGGGCGCCTAAATGATAGTTGACAAGATTGAGAGGCGGCAGGCGGAATTTATCATTTTTATTTCTAAGTACATAATTCAAATAATATAATATATTTAAACATTAAGACAAAATCTAGTTGAATTCAATTCAACATGACAAAACCACTCAACCACCGCCTTTCAAGCCCGTGGCAACACGACTGTACAGGAAACAACAATTTTGAAACCAAGCGAAACAAGATCTAACAGCCCTTTTAGCTGCATATAAAAAGGAAGTAGACTTAAAACAATGCATTATTTGCCACTAGACTTCGGCTGGTGCGAAATAAAATAGTTTGTTTAAATTGTTAGAGCAAAAAAGCTTTAAAAAAGTGCTTGTGCAAATTGTCCAGTGCGTTTGGCTTCTGTGAAGGTAAGTGTTTTAATTTTTGTTTTCATTTTTAAAAACGAATAAAATTCATCAGACATAAGCCAAAAAAAGGGTGGGGGTGGATTTCAAAAATTAGAGTTTAGATCAAAACATGGCCTGCGTGGTATCAAATGAAAGGTAATTGAGTCTGGAGTTGAGTAAAATGCATTTTATTTTTTTAAGCCGGTGGCGCACAAGGGGGGATTTCAAAAATTAGAGTTTAGATCAAAACATGGCTTGTGTGGTATCAAATGAAAGGTAATTGAGTCTGGAATTGAATAAAATGCATTTTATTTTTTTTAAACCAGTGGCGCACAAGGGGGGATTTCAAAAATTAGATATGTTATGATCTGGTACAAACTTTTGAGTCATATTAATCCCATCAGCAAACTTTTGCAAACTGTAAATTTTGATATGTCACAAGCTATTGATATGCTTAGCAACTGCAAACTCTTCCTTGAAAACCTGCTTTTGAAAGCATCAGTTTAGAAGCAACCGAGCTGGCTTCAGAGATTGACGTGGAAGCTAATTTCGAAACCACCACACCACGTCATCGTGTCAGAAGAAAAACAAGAACGTTTTTGTATGAGTGCCCGGATGAACCCGTTCAAGACCTCAAAGAAAAATATGAAATAGATTTTTATTCACACTAAAGATCAAGCAATAAATGCCTTGGAAACCAGATATAATTTGCTAAATACTCACAGCAATTATTTCAGCTTTTTATATAATATTTTTGGTCTAAAAGACATGCCCAGAAATGAGCTACTGGCTCATTGCAAAGATTTGGAAGTAGTTTTAACTGATGGAAATTCAAGCGATCTTAACGCCCTGGAACTAGCCCCAACGAAATAAGCATTGTTTCGTCATTATTAACAAAAAGGGAAACCCCTGTTGAAGTTCTCAAGTTTATCGCTACACTTAAATTCGCACCAAACCTCAGCATAGCATTAAGAATCCTACTTACATTGCCAGTCACTGTGGCTTCAGGGGAAAGAAGCTTTTCAAAACAAAAAATAATAAAAAATTATCTCAGAACGATGCAGATGCAAAATCGCCTCAATGGATTGGCAATGATAGCTATAGAACACCAAATTAGTGACAAATTACACTTGAAATCACTGGTTCGTGAGTTTGCCGAAAGAAAAGTTAGAAAAAGGGCATTTTAATTACTTTCGTTTCTTAGAATTCATTTATAATATGGGATATTAGTTTAGTTAGCATTACTACACTTTAATTTTTGTTATTTTGCCTTAAGTGCTAAATTGCTTATCTTGTTATCTGATGATTGAGTTTTTAATATTTTTTTCCAATGTTTTCTTGACTTTCTGATATGATCGCATGAAATTTACTTAAAAAAAACGGGGGGGGCACAAAATTAAGGTTTTGCCCGGAGCGCCAAAATTTCTAGGACCGGCCCTGGTCAGAACAAGAATAGCCATGAGGAAGGATTTGAGAACATTTAAGTATCCTATTGCTCTACCATCTGACCATAATGTCACTCACTGCCTTATACTTGATAAACACAAAGAACTAAATCATGCCGGAACTCAAATTGTAATGTCAGTTCAAAGAGAACAATATTGGATCCTCAGACGCAGAAAAACTGCTCAACGAGTGATACAAAATTTGTCATTTGCAAAAGATTCAGCTCTCGTCCTACAGAAGTCCTAATTGGTCCTCTACCTGAAAATCGTGTACGAGAAGCATTGATTTTCGAG